TGTAGGGGTGTGAGTGTAGGGGTGTGCGTGTGCGTGTGCGTGTGGGTCTGTGGGTGTGGGTGTGGGTGTAGGTTCTGATCTGACGAAAGGTCACACCCACACCCAGCCACACCCATGCCCACACCTACACACCCATTCACACGCACCCACACCAACACCCATTCATAGCATGAATATATATGGAATGATTGTGATTTAAATGGGTCATCTCATGTTGAAACACTACATAAAAATAATTAATGTTGTTGTTAGGGAAAGTCATTTTGAAATAAATAGACAACTTTTATAATATTATATTTGGTTGCATAATGAATGCGAAATAGTGTTACTTGATGTAACAATTTTACTCATTTTATTGACGATTACTATATGCATATGATGGGTATTGGTAGAGAGAAAGCATGATCTACACCCACACCCTAAAACATCTCTTACAAGTACTAAAGTATTAAAATTACTCTAGTTCTACCAGTACAGTTATATATAGCTGATTTTTGCAACACATTTCATTGATATATCACAAACATAATCTGAATAATATTTAGGATATGATGCTAAAATTTCTATGTTAGGTTTTCTAGAAAATAAAATGTAGATGTAAATCATGATTCATCCAACATCTTCAGAGAAAAGATCTAGTTTGAGTTGTAGTTTGTATAATCTGTAATGATAATAATAAATCAAGCATTGTCAAAGAAATAAATTCTTCAAATATTAGTTGTGAGTGTAAGTGTTCAATTCTCTTTCAGTTACATTCGTATTCACACTTATACTCTATCTTTTTGATGAATATATTCTAAAAAAGTTGTATTTATCCTCTTTCGAACATTATACAATGAATATTTGTCATACACTCGTAAATAAAATGAGTCTAGAAAAACAAAAACTACTTTATTTTTGACAAGTCAATATACAAAATTCATTGAGATGATATTGAAAAAGTGCAGACTTATTATTGATAATGGTTCTCTTTATTTTTGTACTGTTTCATATAGATAGACATGCGATAACAATAAGTGCTACACAAGTCGAAAGAAAAAGAAAATTGAACTCTCTAGTAAACAAATAGTTTTCTTTCAAAGTGTATCTTAATAAATAACTTATCTTCATTTACAAACACACACAACGACATTGTCAAGAGAACCGTTGATCACGTTTGGCTGCATAAGCTAAAAAGCACCAAGTTCCTTTTATCATACAGTATGAAGAGAACATAGTTGAATCGAAATCTCCTAGCTGATATTATTTGATTATTGGTAGAGACCAATGAGTTCCTAGGACACGACTTGCACGTAGTTTCAAGTGGAGAAATTTTTCGAGAAGAGTATTGTATGTGTTTCGATTGATTGAAATTGTTATGTCAAAACGGTTTGTTCATATCACATTTGTATCATACAAGTATTAGTGTACTTTGTATTTTTTTTCTTGATCTTCTCAACCATATCAAACATTATATCTGTAACTATGTAAACGAAAAAGTTTCATGTATACAGCATGTTATTTAAGTTAGGTCTTTTTTTCAAGGGCGAAAATAGTGCAAGCAATGCGAAGAACGAAACAACGATAAGAAAAGAAAATAACAAAGAGAATATACAGTCTGATATTATGTGACCAAGTTATTTTGGCTTTTATTTCTCATATGGTATCCATAGTCAATACACAACTGATGTAAGTTTTAGACGAAAATAAAAACCGATCTTGCTCGTACGTTGTATGTTCGATTTGAAAGGTGTGGGTGTGGGTGTGGATCTAGGTGTCGATGTGGGTGGGTGTGAAGTGGAAGAAAGATAATAATACCAACACTCACACTCACACCCTAATTTTATGGAAACATTATTACTTTTGCATTCATAGCATGACGTAAGAACTGTGCATTAAATTAGCCTTCGGATTAGAGGTATGACTAGTATTTGTTTTAGAAAAGAATATCAAGCTATTGAATCTACCATTATTCAGCACCTCATACAACAAGCTTTTGGAAGAATGCTTTCTATTATAAATAGTTATATCGAAAATAATTATTTTAAAATAGAAATTAAAAGAGTAATAATCGCACTTTCAATTACATTTATTTCAAGATAGATGATTTTTAATAAAATATAGACTATTTGAGAATGAATGTGAGTGTGAGTGTGAAAAGAGAAGAACCTTAGCGATACCCTCAAATATATGAAAATTTTGAAGCTTTATTTTTATATGTGAAATAAACGATGAATCTAGATCCACATGAAAACAATTCGTAAATCGTTGCAAAAATAGTCAAAATGACGTAATTTTGTGTTCTTTTCAAGCCATTCATATGTGATCAATTGAGGATCACTATCATCCAAATTATTAGAGTAACGAATCATAACAGTCGATAGTGTCATCGCTCTATTATCGAATAACCGTGCCATATCTTGAATAGTTTGACGACAAAATGTTAATGTTTCCAAACGATTAAATGAACGCCAAAGTGAATCAATTTGGATGCATATTAATGACATTGATGGAAATTGATAATGACTCATTATATTGAGATTGACAATTTTACGCCATTGATGATCAAAAAAGAAGAGAAAAATCGATACAGGTAAGCCGAGTGAGCATAGTTGTGGTAAACTATGAAGTATTCTTACAAAGTCATTGCTTAGTGTTTCAATATCAGCTCGATTACAATAAAAACTAGTTATATACGATAAATCAAGACGTGCAGCAATATATTCGAATACGGTATTCAGATTTCGTTCAATATCTAAGAAATTAAGATGAGTGAATCGAGTCCAAAGTACATCATTCATTTCTGATCTCTTGTTTATCCAGAGATAGTTGACATGTGGCCATGTTGTAGGCTCTAATCCAGTTGATTCTGTCACAAATCTTGACATTCTATGTGAAGATTGAAACTAATGTCTACCACAGTATGGGTTCGTATAGAGAAGTGATGAGTAAGAATCGTTCTATCGATCATGAGTAACATACCATTTTTTCTCCACGATCCAGAATTGAGTGCGAAATGAATCAAGACTGATCGTTTCTGAACTGATAATATTAAATAAGAACTTGAACATCACTAATTTTCTTAATAATGGTATCCAAGCATTACTATCTGTCATATCACTATGAGCACCATCGATATTAAGAGTAAGATGTGTGAGAAAAGTCATCGGTGAGAGTAAACGTTTCATTTCGAGCATGGTTGAATGTTTGATGTTGATTGATAATTGTCGTAAATTCATAGGAGATTGAAGAAGTAGGTCATGATGAAAAATTTCATTAACTAATACATTTAGTTTGATTAGCATCGGTGCTTTTGGAAAAAGCTCATATAAGTTAATTCGAATGCCTTCTAGTGTGAGAAATTCAATGTTCGATGTTTGTATTGAACATGCAGACATAATGTTTATCATATTCGTCGAGAAACCAGGTAATGTATTGAGATAAAGATTTGTGAGCGATGGAACACTGAATAAGAGATCATTGAAAATGAGAGATGTTAAGGCAATTGTTGAACTTTCCCTATCATAAACAGAAACGATGGATATTGATTTTAGCGATACAAACAATGGAAGACGAATTATTCTAATCGAGTTCCATGTACTTGTACGAATACCATGAAGACTAATCGAATGCAAATTTAGAAATGTATCATTGGAAGTAATTGAACATAAAAAAATCTGTATCTTATGGTTTACTAATAAACCATCGTCAAATGTTAATGAAACAATACGAGATGCAAAATTAGACAATTGATTACAAAATAAATCGAATTGATTCTTCTTTTTGGCTATCAAATTGAAGTCGATTTGAAAACGAGAATAGAAAAGCGATACGGAACGAAGTCGTTTGTTGACCAAAGATACAGAAGAAAGAATATCAAAAGTGGAGATATTGTCAAAAATCTTGTCGATTAATTCAACAGGTAATGCACTTAGATAATCCGACATATTTTTCATGTTTATTCATGGAATGTTCCTATTTATTATCGAATTCAACCATATCTGTCGAACTTGCTGATATGACCAGTTAATCGGCAATTTTCACAAAACAATAATCAACCGAGGTCATTGGCACTAAGAGAAAGGAAATATATCTGCTTATATTCTTCGAACGGTCTGATTGGTTCACTATGTTCTCTGTCGCATGATCTTGAACTTTTTATGATTTGTTTGTATGTCTGATTGTTTTCTATACGTTGTAGCTTGGATGCTTTGTCCAACATAAATTATCCAATGAAAAAGACGAAATTTTGAACAATGACTCAAATTTATTTCAAAACAAACACATTGTCGAACTAGGGAAACGAAGTTTGTATTTTCAGAAAGTGATTTTCTTGGATTCTTATCATATCGCCAATAGGTATTTCGAAGAAAATTTCAGAGTACAGTATAAGCAAAACGTCTTCGATCTAAAAGACATGTTTATGTTGTGGTCAGAATTAAAATATGTTCCTTATGAAAAGAAAGTCTTAAACAAAGAAAAACAATTAAGATAGAACAGACGTCTTCTATTTTACAATTAGTGGCGTAACAAAGATTTTTGTATATGTAAACGCTGGGTCTTAGTAATCGAGCATGGCATTCAGATAAAGTCTTTGAAGAATGACATTCGGTTGAAATGATTATTTTTTATCAAAAAATTTTGCCGATCAAAGTTTTCCCCTATTCCTCATCAACATTTTTTTTCTTTTCAAAACGAGATATTGGATTTTATTCTTTTAGAATTTACTTCCTCTATGGCTTTAATTAATTATGATAATGTGTTATCACACCAACACTCAGACCTTTCCTTGCATCTCTAATTCTCACTTCCACCTGGTATGTATTAAGAAATAGCGTGGAATCTATCGCAAAATATTTAAGAATTTATTGAAAAGTCCGAATAATGCCCAAAAAAAAAATAAGTCTCCGTAGCTACTGGAAAATTTCGGTAATATTTTACAAATTTCGAAAAAATTCATCAACTGCTTCAATGTTTTCGACCTTGCAATTTTCCTAGCTACATCAAATGTGATCTAAAAATAGGTATCCTCTCAGGAGTTATAATATTTTTTATTTTTGCTATATGTTGCAGATGAG